ACAGTGCTAGTGTGGAACTGTTTGCCCACAAAATATACAGTCAATTCACTTTACAGTATATTCTGTGAAGCGCTTTGAGCTGTCTTGAAGATGTGATAAGCACTATAACAATGCAAGAGTTATTATTATTAAACTATGTCTTGTTCGAATCTCAATTGTCCTTTAAACCTCACATCTATGCCTTTAGATTTCCTCCACTTTCATACATTGCCCGCCTCGTCTACTACCTCTCCCCTCAGGCCACCAAGGCTCTTAACCATGCTTTTGTCATGACCAGGATTGGCTACGCTAACTCTGCTCTTCCAACAACTCTTCCTTCCAACAACAACAACTTGCATTGATGTAGCACCCTTCATTCAGGTTAGCATCTCGTAGTGCTCCCTACAAAACTGCAGACCATTCAGAACTCTGCGGCTTGTGTCCTTTCCCACAAGCTTATCACCGCCATCCTCACTCGACTCCACTGGCTCTCCATCTCCCAGAGGATTGAGTTCAAGATCCTCATCCTCACTTTTATAGCCTCATGGTGTTGCTCCACTCTACCTCTGTGACCTTCTAAAACCCCACAAACCCGCTTGGTCTGTCCGCTTGCCAGGCACTGGCCTGTTTCATGTCCCCCCTCTCTGCCCACTCCACCATCGGTAGTTGGGTCTTCAGCCTTTCTGCTCCCACTCTCTGGAACTCCATCCCGAAACCCCTTCCCAGCTCAGTGCAAACCCTCAATTGTCCAGAACCTTGAGACATTCACCCCACGTGAAAGGCGTTATGTAAATGCAAGTGTTGTTGTGATTTGTTTTTCTCCAAAAAATGTATTGTCAAGCTTAGAAATTGAAAAGAATATTGTAAGAGAACACAATCTGAGCTCCGATTACATAGACCACACTGCTGAGCCCCAAGAGATCCAATAATTCAATTATGAACATGTGGCTTATTGATTTAAAACCATATCTCCTTTGGGGATCTGGTACAGTATGACGTATCTCCTTTGTGAATGTTTGGAACGGCATATAAATAGAGAGCAAATGGAAAACATTGCACATCGCAAGGCCAACATTTTTGCATTTTCTAATTTTGGCGATAGTGTAGATGTGAATGTTAAAAATCAAACCAAAAGATGAATCTTTGGAGCATTGCTATTTTCACTTAGGTTATTAAGGTTATTGACAATAATTAAATGTACATTGGGCCTTTAAGGAAACCAAACATCCAGAACACTTTAAGATTGTGATTAATTAAAAATGCAATGTTGTCAGCATAAAAATAGTGATTAAACTGCAGCAGCAACATTTTATATACAACAAAGTAGTGAATGAGTTAGATTTTTTGGAATTAATTTGGATAAGGAAGGAATATAATCCAAAGCAGTAGCATCAGGTGGGGTTCCTTAACACTTACCTGAGATCTCAAGGTGGACAGGACCATCAGACCATCAAATAAAAGGAGGATCTCTGCTGCATTCTAAGAAGGCACATCAACAATGTAATTATTAACTTCAGGTCAGTCTTGATTTTGTGAGTTTCATGAAGAGTACACATTTTAACTATTACCACAACAGCAGTAGAATAGATTAGATAGAGGACCTATGAACCTGAAAAAATAGAATACAATTTCCATTGAAAATAATCCTTGCATTTGATAACACCATTCATGTCAGGACATCTCAAAGAGCCTCACATTGCTGGCTGAGCACCCAAGTTGCGGGATGAGAGGTGAGGGTGTAGGCAAGACAAGCGAAAGCGTGATCAAGCAGTAATATTGAGGAGGGCTTTGAACACAGAGGAGGAGGGAGCATGTCAGAGGGACTCTGGGAGGAGTTCCGAGGGTGTTGAGTGGGGGGGTGGTCAGATGGCTTACGCGCCAATGGTGGTGCAAATAGGACGGGGAACATGAAGCAGACCACTGTTCGCTGAATGAAGGGAGAGGCCGGGTTGGTAGGTCGGTAGGGTGGGGAGGAGTTGTGGGAAGATTTAAAGATGAACTCTCGTACCGTCAGCCCACTCACTACATAACCTCAACAGTCACTGCCTGCATAACATCCAGGACAGTCAAGGAAACAGGTACCAGGGGATCTAATCATCCAGCTGCAAGCAGGTTTTATCCCTCCTTTTAATAGGAAGAGGTATGTAAGCTATATAATATATATATTTATTATTATTATTTATTCCCAACCTAATAAATGTGGAGTCCTGTAGCAGATTGGTTAGAGCACTCCCCTCACAAACGAGAGGACCTGGGTTCGATTCCCGGGTGGGGCGAAACCTTAGGCAAGTTTCCTTACTCCACACGCCTCTGTTTACTTAGCAGTTGGTAGGAAACCCAGTTGCTAGTCAACCCAGTTGCTCATCGATTAAGTGAATCTCTTTCCAAGGGTAATAATCCCTTCAAAATATTTGTTAAAAAATAATGATTATTTGGTCACAGCAGTCAATTGCGCACAGCAGTGTCCCACAAACAATCATGGATTGAATGACCAGATTATTATTATTTTTATATTATTTTTGAAGGGATTATTACCCCCGGAAAAGCTATCTGCCAATTGAATAACAACTGGGTTCCTACTTACTGCAAGGTAACCAGAGACGTTTCGTCCTAGCCAGGAATCGAATCCAGGTCCTCTTGCTTGCGCGGTGAGTGCCCTAACCAATATGCTGCAGGACTCCACATAACACCTTATCACGTCATCAAGACACCTCAAAGTGCTTCACAGGATATACTGTAAAGAGGATTGACTGTATAATGTAGAATGTGGAAGCCAGCAATGTACCACAAACAGCCATGAGTTGAGTGACCAATTTTATTTGGAGGATGGTTGGCCAGGACACCAGGAATAAATCTTTTTGAATGGTGCCATGGGATCTTTAACCTCTATCAAAACAGACAGACAGGACTTTGGTTTAACTTCTTATCCAAAGGACGTCACCTCAGACAATGCAATACACCTTCAGCATTGCATTGGAGTGTCAGTTTCGACCACGTAATTCCGTGTCCCAACGTGGGGCTTGAACCCACAATCTTCTGACTCAGAGTGCTGTTACTGAGCCAAATTTTAAATTAAAATATTTAGTGACAGACTGCTATTTCACACCCTTGCTTTGTTTTTGCACAATTAATCTTCCTTTGGGGACAATAAAAGAATGGAGATGGCACAGCTTTGTACACAGATATATCGAATACACCTCTTTCCAATGTCATCTGAATGGAGGTAAGTTACTTTTAGTTATTGGTACTCCAATCTTCTGTCCTCCTTTTGAAAGTAGGTGTACCATGCATCTATTAAAGAGCCTGTTGAACCTCTTTTTTGCGTGTTCTGTCCTGTCTCCACCTCCCAGCAATTTTATACCTCCTCAGCAAATGCTCATCTTGTTTGTACTTCCTCAACAGTGTCTACATCTTCTGGAGTGAGCATAGCTGAGCTGGTCACATTTTATCCTCTGCGCCTTTACATTATGAAACTATTTCATTTTATCACAGAAACAAAATTCAGATTGAGAAATTAATTTTAAAAATCCTTACTTTACAACATTCACTTTCTTTTCAATACGTGCTCATTACAATTTGTATAATAATCCTTGCATTTGAAATAGCACCTCATCACGTCTTCTAGACGTCTGAAAGCCCTTCACAGAATATACTGTAAAGTGAATTGACTGTATATCTGCTGTTTTTTCCATTTACTGCCCTGCTTTATACATTATTCCTTATGCTTCAGTGGGGCTTTTTAGGACATATCATTCATAATTTGTAGATCCTGCTGACCTAGTGTACAACAAATTATTACTTGCGGTTCAATTTTTTTCAGATCTCTCAAGGGAAGTCTACAGCACTGAGCTGCTGTTCATGATTTACAAGCACTTTCCATGCAGTTTGGGGGATGGAGCAACCACCAAACACTGTTGATGTCGCTCCCCCACCCCCAACCCAATTGCTTTAAGCAATAGTGTGCCTAATACATTGAATGAAGTGCGGTGTGCAATTTCATTGAAAGCTCGCTATTTTTAAGGGCTAAAAAAAATTGTGATTGTGCTCAATAGGCAAACGGTTCCTAATGTCAAGAGAGAAATGAACACTCCCTTAAATTGTGTTGTGAGAGCGCACGAGTCATACATTTCCAATCCAATGCACCGCGTATGGCGTGAGGCTTAAGAACATAAGAACTGGCCGAGCGAAAGACCAAGGTGGATCTGGTTTGCCTTCCGCCATCCTGGCAGTCGCTTGACATGTCGAGTCGCAAACTATACACAGTATTATGAGATATTATTCATGAGAGCACAGGAGGTTAGTTAAGAGCTCAGGAAAGCTTCCGTTAAATTTACTTTCTTTCCCACCCCAAAAAAAACATGATTTTTTTTCCCCCTTTAAATCTGTTCTGCTTCAGTTCTGGGAAAGGGGGAAGCGTGAATGCGTGGGGTGGGGGGGGGGGGGGGGGGTTGTGGTGGCTGTTGTTTGGGAAGAGAGACCAGACAGACAGATGCAAAGGCGGCGGCGGCAGCAGCAGCAACAGTGGCCACGCGCTCACCTCCCGGGGTTGATGATGACATCACAATCAATGCGCGCCCCAACCGAGGGGCGAGAAACACACAGGAGCGCGTGCGCCGAGATGATGACGGGGGGGAAGCGGGTGGGGGGGAAGGGAAGAGGTTGGGAGATCCTGGGTGCGAGCGAGCGAGCGCGCACCCGCGCGCGCGTACGCACTGACATGACCCGGCTGAGCAGGACGCATCGCGCGCGCGTTACCCCCGCGCGAGAGGCTTTCTGACCCCCCCCCCCCCCCGAGGAGGGGACGTGTGACAGTTGGGTCCGCGGATCGCGTGCGCTGGGTGGCCTCGCTCGCTCGCTCGTTCGCTGGCTCGCGCATGCGCGCGCTGGCTGGCGGAGGGGCGGCGTTGCTAGGCGCGGGGGAGGGCGGCTGGAGAGAGGCTCACATTAGGGGGAGGACGGGGAGAGGCGGTTGGCCGGGCAGAGCTGCGACGCTCGCCGCCGACACACAACACACACACACACACACGCACGCAAGACACGGGCAATCTTTAGTTTGGGGGACCCCTCGCTGCTAAAGCGTGTCCAGCGGACTACCTCTCCTCCTCGTCGTCTCGTCTACCCTCTCTCGGCGCCGCCCGTGTCGGCCCGGGTGCCCGTCAGTGCAGCGACTATCACACCATGAGGATGTCGGGGAGGAAACGGTGTCCGGCGGAAGCAACAACAACAACAGCTGCAGCAGCAACAACAACGGGAGGAGGTGATGATGGCGGCGGCGGCGGCGGGGATGAGAAGGAGAGCGCTCGGCTTCCCCCGGTCAGGAACCCCTTTGTACATGACATCCGCCTGTCAGCGCCCGAGAAAGCCAAGGTAAGGGGCGGGCAGGCGGGGCAGGGCAGGCAGGGCAGGGAGGCCGGGCTCCCTGGGTCTGATGGAGGTGCACTCCCCGGTTTGCGCGAGTTCGCCTTTAACGATGGCAAACGCTTCCAGTCGAAGCCGTCGTTCCTCTCTTCTTCCTCTCTATATAACCGCCCCTCTTCCTCCTCCTCCTCCCTTGAATTCGGTTGAGGTACGGGAACAGTAGGCCTCGTCGGTCAGGGATGTTGACACTCACCTGACTGGAAAGGGAACTAACTACCTCTTCTCTCTCCTCCCCTCCCGTTTCTCTCTCTCTCTCTCCCGCTCTCTCTCTTTCCATTCACTTTCTTCTCTCCTTCCCTCCCCATTTCTGGATATTCCCCATTCCTGGTGATAGTTTGGGGTCTCGCAGACCCCGCGTCACACGCACAGCAAACGTAGCGACTTGTTGTTTCGCGGGAATGTGCGCATTTCCACTGGCTCCCGGCATGTGCAATGCTTAGGTGTCGTGAGTTGGATTGTATATTTGCACTCTCTGGCGCACGGATATTTATTGATCTATGTCGTGGACGGCCAGACAGACAGTTTTTTTTTAAACAAACGAAACACGTGTGACAGGAGCCGAAGGTAACGGAGGCGTGGGATAACCAGCCCAGGATTAACCGTGCTAGTATTACACCGAGTCCGAGCAGAAATGCAGATAGTCGTGGCACAGTAACCAGTTTCCGATTCGCTGCAACTCGGGAAGGGACATGAACCGTCTTTCAGTATCTCTGAGGGACGTTTCCAGTTGTAGCTTCTATTTCTCTTGGAATGCCCACGGTTTTCACGATCAACTTCTTGTAGCCTCGAGCGGCGGATCACAGGCAACACGTTCAGGATGTGCTCAACTCGGAAGAATGAAAATACTAAAGAGTTAATTCTCCTTGGTGTACTGTGTTTGTAATTGATGGCGAAGCTAGTGCAATACGAATGTTGTAGTTCAGTTACTTTAACGCCAGATTGCTGGATGCGTGAGGCTTGTCATTGTTTTGTTTAGTGCATCAAGGGGAAATACAAGCCATGAGTTTCTTGCAGTATTCAGTTTCATTGGCCCAAGCATGCTGCTTTGAGCTATGGCAATGGACCACCTTATTGATTTATAACAATGAATTACGTTTAGATAAACGAGTGGAGAAGAAATCGTGAGTCACGGGCTTTCTGCACGTTCAGGAAATACTTATATTGAAGGGTACTTTCATTGACTACCAAATGTAATAAAGTACTATAGTTAAAATGCTTGACTTATTAAACGATACATGAACATGAACAGATTACATTAAACATGAACAGATGTTAATGGTTATGTAGGTGGTTTTGTGCATGGTGTAGCACTGAATATGAGGCCTAAGAGTTGCAACTAGTGCATCAGAGGAGAGATTCAGCAACTGGTGATGCACTTATGTCTTATTTCTTGCGTAGGGAATACAGAGGACATTGTTGAAGGCTGACGGTAGACAATTATACAAAAACATTTTCTTTAGTTTTGTTCATTTCCAAAGCAACTTTTGTTTATAATAATAATAACAAGCTGTACCCGTTGCAGCTTCGCTTGGAACCAAAGGATCCAATATTGAATAAAGATTGACAGACATTTCGTCTTTATCTGTACTCAACTGGGAGGACCTGCGTGCTGTTCTTTGACTGGGCAATTAACTTTGCGTGTTGTTGCACGCCTTCAGTATTGAAGTCCACCAATGCTGTTGTTCAGTTTCATTTAATCGACCTTCTCTCTTTTGTCTTGCATTTTTATTTGACCTTGAAAGGCTTGATCTTCGCTTCTTAGGCATCTTCCCTTAAGATTAAGAAAATGGTCTATTGGGAGGACTCCTGTGGGGGGACTGAATGGGAAGACTTGGTGGGAGAACTGGTTGGGAGCACTATAGCTCCTGTGACAACCCAAAAAATTCCCATACATTTGTTGCAGAAGATATTAGTATAGATGTATCTCTAGAAGGGTGCGTGCTTTCCTCTGTCGCTACTTTGTTGCAGAATACTATGCATACCTCATATTTTGAGGTTTAATTAAAGCATTTTACAAATAGAGCTCACCAACAAAAGGAGATCTCCGAACAAAAAAATGCCTTTACGTTAATTGGTTATTGGCGGAAACGCACACAGTTTATCTTTATTAATAATAACAATAATCATTGCATTTGATATAGCGCTTTTCATGTCTTCGAGACATCTCAAAGCGCTTCACAGAATATACTGTAATGTGAATTGAACGCAGCAGCCAATTGCACACAGCAGTGTCCCACAAATAGTAATGGATTGAGTGACCAAATTATTGTTTTTTTGAAGGATTATTATCCCCAGGAAAGCGATCCACCAATCGACCAACAACCGGGTTCCTACTTACTGTTTGGTAAACAAGGCGTATAGAGTAAGGAAACTTGCCCAATATTTCGCCCTGCTGGGAATCAAACCCAGGTCTCTCGCTCGCTAAACAAATGCTCTAACCACTGCGCTACAGGACTCCACAATGTATAGATTAGTATAGATAATACTAATAACAATTCGTGCATTTGATATAGTACTTTATCCTGTTGTTGAGACATCTCAAAGCACTTCACAGAATATACTGTAAAGTGAATTGACTATTCATGAAATTTATTTAAATAACTGTGTTTGTGAAATACCTTTCTTTAGTCCTGTCCTGGCAAATCTGTAGCTTAGAGCAATCACCTCACAATCAGATGGTTGCAAGCTTGTTCGCGTTCATACTTGCCCTACCTTTATTGTTAATGTTGTAACAGTTCTTTGTCAAGTCACTAGATGGAGTATTATGCAAAAATCGCATTATTAAAATAACACATTCTCTGCCTCACAGAAATGTATCTCCCTGTTGACCATTAATGGAGTGATATTGACAGTAGCCATATGGAAGGTCCTCTTTTATCTGGCCAGATGAAAGTTTGTCTGACCTCTTCAATTCTCAATTGTTCTTATGCCAAAATATTTTTGTAGCTCGGATGATCTCCCCATATACAGTCAAAAAACGATATCATCCAGAAGTGAAAAAGGCATTGCAATTATGGTGCACTCTTACTAAATGTATTTTAAAGTTAATACATATTAGAAAGCAGCAACCTTCCAGACTGGGTTGTTCCGAAGCTCCAGTGCTTATAATTAGTAGGTAAGAGAGAATTAAAGGACTGAGGAAATATATTTTTTGGATGAATGAATTATGTTCCTACAAAACTCATCAAACTGGATCAGTAATCATGGAATGGAACACTGCATACTGTCGCTCTGTATCAGCATGAAACACTGGTAGTTAGTTATTACATAGACTGAATATAGAGAAAAGAACTTAGCACGCTTATGTATGCCTAAATTTCTGAAGAGCGCACTGTCAGTCACCATTATGTTTTCTGTGAGTGAGTTAGTGTCAAATCATCAGCAGTTTGGGGCTTGCAAACATTTCAAGAAATGTTTTCATAGGAATGCCTATGGTATCTGGGAGGACTAGTGTGGCAAGATCGAGAAGCAGGGTTATAAATGGCTTTCTTTGTTTATTTGACCTGATAGTAGAGACTTCCTACTGCACAGATAGTCTAAATAGTGAGGTACTGAAAGACAATATTATACAGCCTGAAGTATGTAAAGAGATGGAGGGAGAGAATTTTACTTGTGCGGAAAAAAAACAAGCCTTATGTAGAATAACGTAGGCTGCATTAGTCCAGAATTAAGGCACATTTATAGATGGAGATAGTAAATAATTTCTGTGCATGTACAATACATTTTGTTTAATAAGGGATTTACTCCAATTGAGCTTTGGATTTCGGACCAACATGATTTGAGTTCAGATCTTCCAGACCTCAATCTTATGGGGGAAAAGAATCATAATTTAATTCTGCAATAGTATTGGTTTTGGAGCTATTCTAAGCATGTAGCTCTATGGCTAACATCAAAACCACTTATTGAAATTGCAGCCTGGCTCAGTTAATGGTAGCATTCTCATCTCTGTGTTAGAGATTGTGGTTTGAAACTCCATGTCGGGAGGGGTTTTCAATTCACAGTCTAGGTCAGGTGTCGTCAACCAGTTGATCGCCACTTGGTGGTGTCTCGCACATGCTCAGTAAAAACAAGCGACAGGAGTGATATTTACTGCAGTTTAAACATTAAAGTTTATATTTTTATTTCCAGATACATTAAATACTTTGTACATTTGGCTTCATTTTCAATATGACTCAATAACGAAGCAGTTCTATTGCTTCTTCCTTTATCCTTTTGATCATACGTGAGAGCGCCACCTTAACTGGTTGGAGATACCTGGTCTAGGCTGACACTAGTGTAGTGCTGGGGGAGAACAACATTGTGGGAGATGCCATGCTTCGGGTGAAATGATAAAACAAGGTCCCGTCTGCCTATTTCGGTGGATGTTAAAAGATTCCGTGGAACTGCATGAAGAGAAGGGAGTCTCTCTCTTTGTTCTGGACAACAATCCCCTGAATCAAATTGGAGATTCATTATTTGTGGGTCACTGCCTTGGTCAAATTGGCTGCCACATTTGCTTACAAATACAGTCCACTTTACAATAGAATTCTGTAAAGCAGTTTTGAGACATCCAGACATGTGAAAACATGCTATATCAAATGCAAAGTTTATTATGTTACTATTATTTTAATCTGATTTTTGTCATTTAGCTTTACAGTTTGGTGAAGATGGATAAAAGCCACTTTAATAGAAATGTATTTGTCAAGAGCATTACGTGTTCCAATAATGACATTGAAAACATTATCATCACACCCCTTCAAAAACAGCATTACTTTGTTACCCTGCTGACAGATGTCTACTGCCCCATGTTACCTGTAATAGTAATTGGAAAATAATAACATTTCGATCATGATGCTTTACTTTGAGCTGAAAAACATAATTCTTTGGAGAATATTTTGTTTACTGTGCAGATAGTCTAAATAATGTAGTGCTTTGGATTTTCTGCCACAAATTATTGCTCCTAAAGTTTA